CTGTCATTTTCAGTAGATTCAAAGGAATGAACATCTTCCACAGCTCGTAAATCTCAAAGCCTTTATCAACATGTGGGAAATAAGCATTGCCTCAGACACATTTACCCTAGGATGGGATTATTGCTTAAAGATGATAATATTGTGGAATAATCCTTTTATAAGTATTCTTTTATAAAAAGCCATCTTTAGAAAAAAAACTTAAGAAAGCTGCAGGTATAAACCTTTATTTCTGCTGTAGAAACTGATACTTTAAGCTTTAAAGTCTGTGATTCCACGTAATATTAAAATTGATTAATGCCTGTGGTTTGAAATAATTTTTAATACAAAGACATTAATTTAAATTTTTTCTTATTATTTAGAAGTAAAGAATGCAGCTAGATCAAGTTACCCAAAATGTTCATATCAATTCAAGAATGCAACTACTAATGCATTGGTTGGTGCCAAGTCCACTGAAGGAATCCCGGAACCTGTTCCACTTGTTAATAACCGTAAAGGGAGCCTCTTCCTACCCAACAGCCCCTCGCTGCTGCACCTTAACTTATTGAGTTCTGTTGAACAAGGAAAATCTACGTACTGTAGATTGCAAAGGGCACTCAGCTTGCCTGTAAAATACCGCTACCAGTCCCAAAAGCCTGGGTTGAACCAAGATCTCTGTAGGTAGCCCCGTAGTTGGATGCATAAGGCAATACAGATTGGTTTGCGCATGGTTTTGCAGTCTGTTTTCAATGTGACTATGACATTACTAATGCTCTGTTAAGTGCTTACAGATGTGGGTTTCTCCAGATGTGGTGATTAATAAGTTAATCAAGATAGCTAGTCAACTAATGTTTCTGGGTGGTTTGTGCTTTACCTTTCATATGATTTATTTGCTTTGAAGCATTTACATGCTAGGCAGAATGAGTTTAGCAGGTATTCCAGTTCGTGTGATGTTCGGTAACATAGATGTTATTTCAAACGCGAGCTCTTTTGGGGATCTAAAAAACAGTGTCTGTAAACTGTTCTTCTAGTGACCTGGGAGAGGCAGTGAAGGAGACAGCTTTATTTAAAAAATAGTAACAAAATAACAAAGAAAAAGTTATGAACTCGTCCACTGTTTCTGAAAGACGTTCCCTTTATTTTGCTTAAAAAATGAAATGAGGATAAAAGTCAAGTAATATGTCGTTACAGATGTTCAGCTCGACATTAAGGCTGTTAAAATTACCAGCACGTCTTAAATCAATTCGTGGAACATTGTCTGGAGGTTATGTCATTGAAATAATGAATCCTCTTTACTCAAGAATAAGCAAACATGTTGAAACATCAGTGTAACTTTAAATTAAACTCCAGCATAAACCGGAGCATCTGAAGCCTCATTAGACTTGCCTGACATTTTGTTAGCACTGAGTCTTCCTGAACTGCAGAACTGTTAGATTCTCTGCCTATTAGACAAGTGAGCACTGGATTGTTACAACAGTACATTAAGTGTTATACTTAGGGATGTGCAAACAGACTCTTGAATTTCATTAGAACTCGGAGGCAGGATTGAGTTCCAATTCTATAGAATTCTGTATCCAATTCTTGAACTTATTTGCAATTTTCATGAAAGCTGGTAAAGAAGGTCTGCATAATATAATATGACTGTATTTTAATACAAATCCTGTAGCATAAAGACATCAAAAATACTAAAAATGGGGACACATTCTCATTAACAAAAGCACTGGGTCAAACATACAACATCACAGTTGAGTTGTCATATATCACAGCCCATTATTCAAATATGGTTGTCTTTCATAAGAACAAGCAAATTTAAGACTCCCTTTTATAATAATGGAGACACAGCAACCATGAAACTAAAATGATATTTTATGGCTTTACTAAAAATTTTGCTAGATCTATTTCTTTAAATATGCAGGAAATTGGTAAGAGTATCTGAAGGATAATAATTAAATAGGTTTTATGTCCTACTTACTACTAAGAAGCCACTTCTGAGTTATCATTGCAACACTTTTGGGAACCAAGCCATAGGTAATGGTGTCCATTATATATCATTCACATATTTCAGCTTCATGGATTCCCTTCCCCTATTCTTACGGAGCTGCGTTTCTAAAATGCAGATGCCCTGTAAACTCTGCACTCAGATTTCATGGAAAAACAAAATCTTGTTTGGATGTGATATGATTAAGATAGATCACCTTTCATTGCTGCAATGAGAATAAATGGCTTCCTTGCTTGAGCAAGGTATTGCTTTAGCTACGAAGAGAAGTCCCTCAGAAGGCTTTGCTAACGGGTATTAACTAGGGAGCCACATTAACCTTGGACTTTCTAGGCAATTGGTGACAGTAACATGGTTTGAATATGACAAGCACATATCAAAAGAGGGAGCTTATTTATTGTAGTCGCAATACCAAAAATAACTGCAGACTGCTAGAAATCTAGTTCCAGAAATGGTTATTCTGCATGATTACTACTAAGACTTTGTTGTTTAATTGGATGGCAGAGTAGCATCGCCTGGCAGCACTGGAGAGCACAAATGTTGGACCATATAGTACAACAGATCCTTATTGTACTAACTTCAGTATTTGAAAGGATCAGACAGGAGTCTTATTAGCTAGGTGAAAACTTGGAAAAGTACTCTTTTTTAATAGTGTTTTCTATTGTTCATGTTGTTCATTTCTCACTATAATATGATCTACAGTTGACTTGTGTTAATGTAAGATTTTGCGCATGGTCCTGATGACTATACATCTTCCTTAAATGGTTAAAATAGTGTAACAATGTACGTACGGTGCGATACTGCATCTCTTGACAAACGTTCTGTAATGCCATGGTAGCAGATTAAGCGAAGTGAAATTTAGAATTTTTGCTACCAAGAGAGCAAAACATATCAGTTATAGTTGGTTTCTGGAAGGAACATTTTGCATGGTCTTGTTCCTTTGATCTTTTAAGTGGTGGATTCATCAGATTGGAATTGAATATTTATATCCTATAAAGAACAAGAGAGCACAGCGTACATCTTGAAAGCAACCTATTGTCTGTGTGGAATAACATGCGAATAACTTTTTGATAGACAAGCTTAAAACAAGACTAGGCCATCTCCAAGAGAGTGATTTACAGAGCGTGTTCTGAAGTGCACATATATTTGTGCTTTGTTATAACCAGAAATAGAAAGATACTACTAACAAAACAATTCTGTGCATATTCATTTCATGTTACAAAAAGCTAAATACTGAAGTGATCTAGTTTAATCTGAACAAACTGTCACAGAAAGGAAAATTCAGTTTGCATATTTTTGAGAATTTTCTATGGGCTTATGTATCTCTCAGCCAAACAAAAAATGGTACATGACTAGTCATCAGTACGCATTTCCACTATAGGACTCTGACTTGGAAAAAGTGTCAGATGATAAGGAAATGGCTTTGTCTTTGGGGATGCTGCCCGAGAAGAAAAGAAAGTTAAGATAGCGAAATAAATCATTATTAGAGAGTCATTGCTCTCATCTAAGTATTACCTTTTACACCGCTCTCTGGGGCATTTATTTTGGGGTTAGCTTTTTGTTTGTTTCTTTGTTTTTCTTTGGCAGTGCTTTCTTTTGTTTTGATTTCCTTGCTGTGTTAGGTGATGCCATGTCACTTAAAAAGGCGGCACATCTGTCTTTTCAGGGCCACTCCTTTGATGTTGACCAAGGCAAAATGAAGTTCCGTAGCAGACTTGGGCAAACAGACAGACATGACAGGCTAGAATGCAGTCTGTAGCCAAATAGTGTCAGAAGAGGGTTATAGCAGAAGGATATTGCTTAATTTCTTCCCAGATAAGTCTAGGGCAGGTGACATATATCCAGGGTTTTTTGTTGTTCCTATGTAGCTTGTTGCAAATAGAATTTTTTTCCAGCCTCTGCTTGTGCACTGCTAATGTGTATTAAGCTCTTTTAATATAGCTACTACTACTACTAATCTCTTTCCTTTTAGCTTTAAAGTAACAACTTCCTAGGCATCAGTTATATTATCTTCTAGTTAATTTTTCAGTTAACAATAGGATTGGGGGAAAAAAAGAGTATTTTTCCTTCTTTATATTAGAATAATTCAGCATTTGTGTGAATCTGAGAAAGCAGGCATAAGATAATTCCCTTTGATAGCACATGTAAACCTTATGTGCAGATTATCAAGTGCAGTAACAATCTTGAAACAGTAAAGATGGTAGTTAATTCTTATAGATGAGTTACTAGGAAGCTGCACTTGTTTAAGCAATACGTACTGTGACATAGGTTATCCAAGAGTAGTTTATGATTGGCAAAACTGTAAGTGATTTTACATCTGGAAATTGATCTGTCATTGAAAATGCACCTCATCCTCATTAAAAGATTGCATAACACATGCATCCTCTGTTATACAGGTATTGTCTCCCCACTTCCATTCAACCTCATTCTGTTCACTCCTGTTAAAACTCCCTTTTGTGAGAAGGGTAGAGCGATGAGGTCTGACTTGTGCTGGAGATCTGTGCACAATGGCAGGCTGCGTTCACGTTCCCGACTAACTGAATCATTGAACATCAAGGCATTGAATATTTTACATCTCTTCATGAAGACTCTGTTGTTTGGCATGTGAGGAGCAAGAACTGGTGTCTAGTTCATTAGCAAAAGCAGGCTGGCAGCTGTTACGTTGGTATTGCAAACAGTACTTCATCTTTCTGAGAACATAGCAGAGCACTAATTCTACTTTTCTGTAGCACAGATTAACTGAAAATAACTCTAAGAATAACCCGAATGTGGTTCCCCCCCACTTTGTTTTTGAAGTATGAAACCAATTTGAACGCCTGTGTTCAAAACCCTGGTATTCTTCCCTGCTTCTCCTTCAAACCAATCTCTTCGACTAACATGTACTTGATTTTTATTACTGTTGGGCCTATGTTAGCAATGAAGTATCAGTGCGTGAATGGACATAGAGTGTGTGTTCTTTGCTACTTCACTTGTATTTCATATTCCACTTAGAGCAGTACTTAATCTCATGAGTTCCTTATATTTCCAGTTGAAGATGAGCAGCCGTCAACGCTATCACCCAAAAAAAAGCAGCGAAATGGAGGCATGCGAAATTCACCCAACTCCTCACCCAAACTGATGAGGTAAGACTAAGAAACTCATATCTTCATCTCCTTCCTTCCTTCCTTCCTCTTCTCCTCCCCCCACATCAAAAATAAGGAGGGGGGGAAGATTGTTAGATGGTTTCTGAAAGGCTGAAGTATTTATTCTGTCAGCTTGTCAGCAGTTAATGATAGAGCTGAAAAAAAATTCTGTCATGAAAAACAGTTTGAAAAGCTGTTTGAAAAATACATAGGCTTTAAAGTCTTAGCTGTCACCCTGTCCTGTCCGTGTGTAGTTCTTAAACAGCAGTGGCACTAATGATAGCACTAACCAATCAGGGGAACTCATGTGGTTAGTTTGCCTCAGGCAATTCTCTTTTTGTTAGATTCCCTCTGAGTACTGTTTTCTGTACTTAAGGCCATATGTGAGATGTATCATCACAATCAAAAATGAACCTGAATATTACCTTCCTTTTATCCTGTCGATTGAAATCATATTTCTCTTAATTGATTTAGACTGATAAAAAAGTCTAATAATCTATGTACTTGCCAAAGCGAAGTTCAAAACTAATGCAGTTTTACTCAGGCTAAAAGCACATTAATTATGAAACACAGGGATTTTTAAGAGGATAGTATATACTCTAAAAGTGGGTGATGAAAACATCATCTTGTTAGTGATATTTTTCCCCTGTTGCTATGTGTACATTATTTTACACCAGTATGCCTGTGTATAACTATGTGGTTTCCTTCCATAGGACAAATTACCTCTAAGAGATTTGTTAAAACTGCAACACGAAATTGGAATCTATTAAAATAATATGGCATTTGCTTTCTGTCTCACTGTGCTTCACCTTTTGCCTGCTCGAGTCACTCAGAACAGGATCAGGTAGCGGACGTGAAGTTCTCTACAAGGAGGCCGTTCCTGCTCTGGTTTTGCCTGTCTAAGGTAGCCAGGCTAGAACTGCAGTCCATAATTCTATCCAGAACTAAGTATCATACCAGAGATTTTCCACTGCATATATATACACAGAAAAATGTGAGCTTATTTATATATGTAAGCAGACACATCCATCCATTTTGGGTGTATGTGTAACAGCAACTGCTCTGCAGTCTCAGAGATTAAGTGAAAAAAATTAATACGAATAATAGTTCTTTCTATGTATAAAATAATTCATTACTTTTCTTTATTGTTGACAATGATTTTATTCCCTTAACAATTCTGGATACAGCTAGGTAATATTCCTCTTTGTATTTCAGTTGGTAGACTGGAAATGTTCTTTGGCCAGTTACAGAAGCACCCATATTTGTTTAGTGTTGCTCCAATATAGGGCATATTCAAGGGCATAACTTCGACAAGTCGTCCTCATCTCTGTTTAGACTACAGAACCAAAAGTGAGATTAATTCACAGAGGAAAATGCACCCAGCTGTGGCTTTTTTTTTTCCTATTGACCATCTATTTCTGTTAAATGTATCATTAAAAGTTCGCTGCCTTCCTGTTAGCTCAGCCTTACCCATATGACACTGATTTACATGCTTGTTTACAGCTTGTGAGGAAGAATAAAACACTGGCAAGCTTCTCATTTTTACGGTGCCAGTTGTCATGCTAGCATCATTTCCAATTTACTTACCTTTGGACAGTCTTCTTATCTGGTCCTAATAGTTTTAACCGCTTAAAGTTTTAAACATGTGGGAGATTCCCCCCCTCACCAAATCCTAATTTTGGGGGAGTAGAAATAAAAAGAAAGAGAGGGAGAAAGAGAGAGAAAGAGCTGAAACATTTGGAGCTGAGCACACTGTCCCTGTTTGCTATGTAAAGTATGCCTCATTTCTTTGATCTTGAGTAATAATAATTCTGGGGAGTTATACTGTTTTCATATGCTTCAAAGCTGTGTCAAAGTTTTGCTGCTTAAGGGTACTTCTTTATTCTATTGGCTCTTGGGTACTGAGATGACAGGTCCTCTGTACTAGGTGCAGGCTTTTTCAAGTCATAGCCTTCAGCAAAACATCAAATTACCAAATACAGGGTAACATACTTCTACACAAATGCCTTTCCTGTAGATATATTATACCATATATATTAAATACTTTAGTGTTACACGGTACATTTTATGTGCAATAGAAAGTGATGGTTTGAGGTAGCCTTAGGGGTACTTTTTTCCACAAGCAGAAAAAGCTAGTGTATACCGTATCAAGTATGGTTTTTACAGGACTTTCTGCCCGAAGGCCTTTGTAAATAAGTAATGATCAACAGATTGGCTGTGGGTTTTTGAAAAGCATGCCTGTGTCAGTTTGCATGATGGGGGGAGATTTTCAAAGTGGAGCCTGCTTTCATTGCCTGCTGAAGAGGGACTGAGGGAGGGGAGTCATCCTGAGCCCGAGCTGTCTGCTCAGTAGCGCATCAGAATTGCTAAATACAGGTCGAGCAGCAAGTGGAGAACTTGCCGGGCTTCCAAATCCAGACATTGTTTTCTCCCTCTTCTCCCTTGCTGCTAAATTTATTCACCAGCCCTATACCGGTACCCTCAGCCTCTCCCCAGACCCAACCGTCTCTTTGTCTTACTCTTTATCCACACTGATTTAGCTTTATTTCAAAGTGCTAAATAAGGGAAAGTGGATTGAATCAGAAGAGAACTCCGTTAAGCTTTGTGTGTAATGGCCAAACGCTTTTCTGCTTTCTGATAAACAAAGGTGGGCTGTATTATCTGCCATTTTGTATCCTCATAAATTACCTGAAGTGACAGGTACTTGCTTTCCTGCCCAGAAATATTTAGTGTATGTCAGCTAAAAGTACACAAGAGGTAAATCAGCTAAAGCACTGTCATGTCTGTAGCTGATATTTATCTTTGCAATATTTTTCCTAAATTTACTTTAAAAGCTGCTTTTTAAAGCCAGCTTCACCCCTGTCTCCCCCACTGAAACAGCTGGCTACTTTGCAGACTTTTCTTCAGCTATGGTTCTGGGTCTAGAGGGGGCCTGGAGGACAAGAAGTCTGGAGCATGTAAAGGAGGAATATTTGAAAAGTTCATTTATAAGTTGTAATCAGAGCTGTGACTCTAGAATGACTTTCTGAGCAGCCCTCCAGTTAAGATAATGTTGAAAATGCTGCAGAGATTTTAGATTTCCACAATGGCTGGGGCAAATCAGGGAAGAAGGTATTGTGAGATAAAACTTTATGACTTCTGCTATCGCTGAAGTAGAACAGAGGACAGAAACTGTGTCATAGGTATTCCCTAGGACATCATGACAGAAGGCCTCACAGGTGCTTATTTAGACCTGGTCAGAAATCGTGAATTTTTGAGATTTACTCACACATAAGTAGAAAGCTGTATTACCAAATACGATTCAAATAGATTGAAGACATCTTTTCAGTGTCATCTCTTTGATGTTATTGTCTCTAAATGCCAATAAATAAGTAACTGAAATAAATAGATGTTAGGCATACAAAAATTATTTCTATAGATCACAAATGGTCTAGATTCTCATTTAGAAAGTCACTGTTCAACTGAATACTACATCGCATCAAATGACATGAGTAGAATCACACTGATGCAATAGTGGAAGAGTCTAATCAATCAGAAACAAACCTTTCAAAATCCAACTATAGCTGCAAATGCAAATTAACTAGAAAAATACTCTGCATTGTCATTGGTATATCTGGTTTACATCAACAGAAGTCTGTCCCATTAAACCCGTAAGAATATGGGTATTATTTAAAAATAACTTAAACTACAACAGGAAAAACAGGATACTACTCCTGTGAAGATGTGAACAGAAGGACATCCTATTACAATAAAAAGTAAAATTAAAGTAGGAAGTGGAAGGAAAAGGAAGGAAAGCTGCAAGTAGCACAGTAATCATACATCAAGTCTCCTTCTTCATTAGGCAGAGAAGTAAAACCATTTGATACCGCTGGTGTCATGCAGTGATATCGAGTCACCTGTTCATCATCTACAGTCACAGGTTTTGATGCATGTTATTGATGAACAGCCACCTTAAATATGAGGAGGCTATGTCACCTGAATATCAAACAGCAAAGCTAGTTTTAAGAAAAATGTGTCATTTTGGATTCCAGAATGACCAGTAAAAATGTGAAAAGCGCTGGATATGAATCAAAAAAGCCTCTTAAAAGGATTGTTGCTGGGGCTCAAGTCCGCACTTAAAGCTTTGGTAGCTGCATGAGTAGAATACACTGACTTGAAGGAAATGTCAGCCCAGCTGAGTCAAACTACCTCTTAATGCAAGAACAAATAGCATATGACAGGGCCCAAGGGGCCTGAAGAGCAAACAAATAGTTTGTCCCTGTCCACTCTGAATGTAGTGGTGTAGTTGACATAGGCCTCAAGACAAGTAGCATACTCAGCAAAGGGTCATTATCATTAGTGTCCCTGATCACATAAGAATCAGAGGCATCAGAGGACGCTGGGTTTTCAGTGTGTTGCCAAGGAGAATTGCATAAGCCTGAGGATTTTTCTTGATCAAGGATCTAAAATAATTCCCAACCAAACCATAAAACTTGCTCAGAGACTGTCAAGACCCAGCTAAGTGACATGGAAAAAAGTGAGATTTTGGCATATGTTTCCGGAAACCTAATGAGATTATTTATCTGAAGTTGAGGGGGAAACCTCCTGTCTTTTCTCCTGAAGTTGGATACGATATTTTAAGTATATGAACAATGGCTGTGCACATTCACCTCCTCATCTGCCCACCCAGCTACATACACTCAAATGTACACACACATTTCTGCCAGAGCCACTCAGGATGAATTTGTGTTGCCCCTGCCATTGTAGTGCTGCCCTTTCACGAGCTGAAACTGTGACCTTTCTCGTAGGAACCAAAAAAAGCGATGGGAGGTCTAGAGGGGAACATTTCTCAAGCAAGAACTGGTAAAATAAGTTCAGTCTGATAATTTTCCATGACTCCCCTAAACCAAGCAGGAAGGTAAGGTTTGAAGAGGTGAAAGCTCACTGATTAACCATAATAATGGTTTTTATTTATATCCCTTAGTCTTGGAGATTTCCATCATGTACTCTAAAATTTACGT